TCTTAAAATAGAGCCTGCGATGGTCAGAAATGAGCTTGTGCTGCTGCTCCATGGGTGCAAAGAGGCACCTTGCAGCTGCCTTGGGAGTGGGAAGGGCTGGGGATGGGTGGCTGGCTGGCTGGATGCATGGATGGATGGATGGGTGGATGGATGGTGGATGGATGGATGGATGGATGGATGGATGGATGGATGGATGGGTGGACGGGTGGATGGATGTATAGATGGTGGATGGACGGATGGATGGATGGATGGATGGATGGATGGATGGGTGGATGGATGTATAGATGGTGGATGGATGGATGGATGGATGGATGGATGGATGGATGGATGGATGGATGGATGTGTGGGTGGATGGATGGATGGATGGATGGATGGATGGATGGATGGATGGATGGATGGGTGAATGGGTGGATGGATGGGTGAATGGGTGGATGGATGGGTGAATGGGTGGATGGTAGGTGGATGGGTTGATGGGTGGATGAACGGATGGGTGGATGGAGGAGTGAATGGATGGGGGGTTGGATGGATGAGAGATGAATGGATGGATGGATGAATGGATGGATGGATGGATGGATGGATGGATGGATGGGTGCATGGATGGGTGGATGGGTGGAGGGATGGATAAGTGGATGAGGGATGGGTGGATGGTGGATGGGTGGACAGGGTCACACTGCCCAGGGGGCTGAGCTGTGCTGCAGCTGGCTGGCTCCCTGTGGGCACCAGGCCAGTCCCTCCTGTGCCGCAGCCTCTTGGCTGCTCCTCTCCTCCCAGTAGCTTCTGCTCCCGTTGGCTCACTGACTGCAGCAGCATCCTCACAGCTCTCCCAGGATCCTGGTTTAGGTGCGTGCAGGGGGATGAGCAGGGTTCAGTGTGAGGGAGGGTGTAGAGCAGGGGGCTGACTGCTCAGTGTGGGTGCATGTGAGTGCTTCCCTCTCTGTCCTGTGGGTCCCAGGACCCCACTCACCCCAAGTGGCAGTGGGAAGCAGGAGGAGGAGGAGGGCACTGCTGGGAATGCTGCTCCTCCTGCCACAGATGGGTTATTTTCCTAGCCTCCGAGCTTGGTGAAACACTTCAGATGTGTTCTATTTTGAACTCCTGTCTGATGGGCAGCACATTGGCCCTTTGGGTTATGTTACTCTTTGAGCTGAAGGAAATCTGGGGTTGCTTTTGCTCTGGGGGTGGTTGCCTGTGTCCTCGAAGGCAGCAGACGCAATGGCAGTGCTGCTGTGGTGCTGCCATGGGGATGTCACTGCTTTGACGTGCTGCTGTCCCTGCTCCTGTGCTGCGTTCCCTTGCCCCGCGCTGACCCCATGCCCAGCTGCTGCAGTGGGGATGCTTGTACCAAGCTCACTTCTCAGAAGGTATATCACTTCCACCTCCTGGGGCACAAACATGCTCGCTGAGGACATGAGTGACTCTGATGAAGAGGCAGCTTCAGGGCAGCTCCTTTTGCTGCACAGCAACTGATGCAGTACTGCCTGGAATGCTTTGCAGGATTTTTACAATGTGGCTTGGGTGACAAAATTAATCTAATCACAGCCCAAAGCCCTACACCTGCACTCCGTGACAGTCTCTGTTGCGTTCAGCATCCCCTTTCCGCTCCCAGTTCGAGTCGGTGCATGTTCAACACTGGGATGCTCCATCCAGGACCCATTTACAAATGGGGTCAGGCAGACCCAAGAGCGGAGGGGATGGAAGAGGAGAGGATGATGCTTTAGGGCTGCCATGGAAAATCACCAGTGTGCTTGCCAGCTGCTGGCTCACGCTGGCCCAGTTCTGCCTGTCAGGCTGCGAGATGTCACATCCCAAACGTGGCATATGGAGCTTGGGCTCAAATTGTCTCTTTTCTGGGCTAACGGATAAAAAACCCTCTTGAGCAGTGCAGAAAGCACGCAAGCACTGCATGGGTTTGCTTATTCACATGGCTGATGGAGAGCAGCCAGCTCTGTCTGATCAGGGCATCCCTGTCCTGTCTCTCCATGCTGCTGATGGGCATCCTGGGGACATAGTAGGTGGTGGCCTGTGATCTCCTTGCCTAAGGTCCATGGTGGAGGCTCCCCTGGGCCCTGTCCTCACTCTTGTCCTCCCCTTGTCTTTCAGATGCCCGGCAGTAACCTGTCCATGCACAGAAGGACCTGCCTGCCTTAGCCAGCCCATCCTGCCAAGCATCCCGCTAGCAATGGCCTCAACACCCCAGTGAGGACAACAGGACCAGGACCGAGTGCCCCTCACCACCACCACATCCCTTGGGAGAGCCATGGAGGCCCCCCCAGACGTGCCTGTAGGGAATCTCATCGACTTCGACACCGAAACACCCGCCTGCATCCCTTCAGAGCCCTCAGCCCCCAGTGACAACGGGCACCAGGGGGACACGGGGGATGTGGCTGGGGAGGAGAGCGACGCCACCGAGTCTGCAGACAGCGAGAATGACATGGGTGACTCCCCCCAGCACTGGGGCAGGTACCACCGCTCCTCATCCAACGAGTCCTTCTCCTCCAGCCAGAGCACCGAGTCGGCTCGGGATGAGGAGATGGCCGAGCGCAGGGAGTTCATGCGGCACTACGTGGAGAAGATCTTCACTGGCGGGTAAGTGAATGGGGCCTGAGAGGGCTGCTAAGGGACATCCCATGGGATGGGGTCTGGGTGCTCTCCCACTCTGGTTTGTGTCCTTCCCTGTGCCTGGATAACGCAGATTGGTGCTCCCCAGTGTTGTCAGAGCTAAGGCGAGGATGCAGGCTCTGCCCTGTATCCCTTTCTTAGGCATATCCCAGCTCACCTTTCACCCCCAGCTTCCCACCCCTCTCCTTTCTCCCCTTTCCCATGCTGGGGTTCTTCCCATGCCATGGTCTCCAACTCTTCTTCCCCACTAATGATGCTCCTGCCAACACCAGCAGCTCACCATGTGCCCCTTGGTCCTGCAGCAGCCCCTGGCTCCCACCCCAGCCCTGCATCCCCCCCAGCTCCCATCACTGTGGTCTCCATAACGCTGTGGCTCGGTGTGTCAAGCAGGATTGAGCAAACGGAGCGTGACGAGCAGCAACAGGGGTTGTTTTTGCTCTGGGGCACAGTGCTTGTCTCTGGAGCTCAGTTTCTGCTTGGACTGTGTTTAGCTCTTCCCTTCTCCCTTGCCTTTGGTTTTCCCCCTGCCAGGGAGGAACAAAAGAGCAGCATAAGATGAAGGATGGCAAAATGGATGCTCCTTTTCCTCTGCTTTCTCCCGGTATCGCAGGACCAGGATGGAGGTGGAGGAGCTGAGCCATGCTGGCTGGATAGGGAATGCCAGACACATCCTCACCTTTAATAGTGCTTTTCCCCCTTTCTACCCCATTTCAGAGAGGATCTGGACCAAGAAGAGAAGGCCAGGTTTGGTGAGCTCTGCAGCAGCGAGAATGGGAAGGGCAGGGAGTGGTTTGCAAGATACGTGAGTGCCCAGGTAAGGGGAGAGATGGGCAAAGGAGCAGTGACCCTGCACTGGGGCTTTGGACCAGGAGGCTCGAGCCAGGGAAATACAGCAACACCCCAAAGTGATACTTATGAAGGGTGGGAATTGGGGTAAAAGGAGGAACTTCAGTACAGGGAGATAGAGAAGTGAATGAATACATCTTGACGCAGTTAAATACATCTTTATTGCAATGTAGGAACAGAAGTCACCTCTTTTATGTAAAATGACATCTCATCAGCACTCAGAAATGTCCTGTTCCCTACAAAAACAATTCCAAGAGGCAAACCCCTGTCTCCGGGAGGGAGGCTCTGCCCATCTCCCTGCATGGGGGCCATGGTGGGGATTGAGGTTGCTGCTTTACCTGTGCTAAACCCTGGGCTTTGTGCCTGCAGCGTTGCAACTCCAAGTGTGTCTCGGAGCAGACCTTCTACCGCCTGATGCAGTCCTTTGCCCTTGTGCTGTTTGAGTAAGTCAGGGGTGGGATGGGGCTTTGTTGGACCACCAAAAGCCGACAGGCAGCACCCATGGGTTGCCACCGGTGGGTGTCTTTCTTTACCAAACCATCCCTCTGTGATAGGTGTCACCAGATGGATGACTTCAGCCCTGCAAAGAACCTTATGACCATGTGTTTCACCTACTACTACGTGGGTAAGAGGCACCTGCACCCTTGGGCTCTGCTTGTGTTGGTGGTGAAGCATGCCCTGTGCATGGGAAGGGTGATGGAGAGTACCCAAGCTTGGCTGATACTGAGCTGAAAAGAGCCTCCATGGCCAAGAAGCAGTACAAACCTTCCAGAGACCCTCGCTGATGCTCATGCTGATGCTGGTTTGCCATTGTTTCTATTCAGGGATGTTCATGGCTAGGGATGTTAAGGGTAACAGGGATTCTATAGGTACGTAGCGAATATGCTGGAGACGGACTGTTCACTAGGGACTGTAGTGATAGGACAAGGGGTAATGGGTTAAAAGTTAAACAGAGGAAGTTTAGATTGGATATAAGGAGGAAGTTCTTTACTGTGAGGGTGGTGAGGCACTGGAATGGGTTGCCCAGGGAGGTTGTGAATGCTCCATCCCTCACAGCGTTCAAGGCCAGGTTGGACAGAGCCTTGGGTGACATGGTTTAGCGTGAGGTGTCCCTCCCCATGGCAGGGGGTTGGAACTGGATGAGCTTAAGGTCCTTTCCAACCCAAACCATTCTATGATTCTATGTGTGGCAATCCCCAGATATTCCCTGACCCTGGGGCTGTGTTGTGAATGTCACAGCCCAGAACCACCTTGGTTTATTGCTTGGTGTGTGGTGGTCACTCCGGGTTTCTTATCCAAAACTAAGGGGAGGATAAAGACCTATGGGAATTGGGATGGGTCCGGCCTGTGCTGGGAGCAGGTCCCCCAGGAGCTAACAGCACTCAGGACCATGCGTCCAGCTGAGCTCCTGATGTGTTGCCCACAGGCAAGACCCACACACTGCCCTTGGAGGCCAAGGAGAAGCCCATGGGCAGCATCGACTCGTACCTGAAGTCAGCAAATAGCTGGCTGGCAGAGAAGAAGGACGTCGCGGAGCGGCTGCTGAAAACCACATCAGCCAAGACAGAGAACGTCAAGGGCTTCTTCGGGGGCCTGGAGACCAAACTGAAGGGTCCTACCAGCAAAAAGAGCGAGTGGGTACCTCTCTGTTGGGTGGGATGAGGCAGGCACCAAGGCAGAAACCTCCTGGGCGCAGGGTCACCATGAAGCAGGAGTTATCATGGCCATGGGAAGGGGGTTGGTCCCATGCTTTGTACTTTGGTCATTGGGTATCACATAGTATGGGAGTCCTATGTCCCTTGGGGGTGGAAATGTATGGTTCTAGGAGGTGGTGCTGTTGCTTTGTGATCTTCTGCATCACCTCTGTATTGGGTTTGACTGGGATGGACAACACAGTCCCTTAGCCACTTTTCCGGCCTTGGGGGACAGTGGCGTGGAAATAGGGGGGCTTTCAGTGAGGGTGATCCCCTTTCTGGTGTGGGCAGGGCTTTACCATATATCCTGTCATGGGGACGGGTTTTTTGGGAGCTGACACTGATTTCTGTGCCACAGTGAAGGGGAGGACAAACCAAAGGAGAAGCTGAAGAAGACGGGTGAGTAGAGCCAGTGCTGCTGGTCATGGCATCCCCAGTGAAGGAACAAGGGTTGGAGGTAGTATGAGATAACCATGACCATGCATTGCTGGACCTGTGGGGCCAGGAGAAGGGCAGGAAGATACTATCTTCTCTGAGCCCTTAGAGAATTGCTCTAAAGGAGCCTTCACAGCTCCTTGCTTTGGAGCAATCACAGCTCTTATCCCACAGGACATCTTGTGGCATCTTGTCCCCAGTGGCAGAGCTTGCAGAGGTTTGGGCATCCACTGCCCCTGAGCTTTCGTGTTGCACCAGTTTCCCCTCAGTGGCTATGCGTGCTACCCATCAGTGTTCCAGTCCCTCAAGTATCCTTCTGGGACATCCATGCTTTGGTCAGAGCTTATACCTACCCACAAAGGGCAGCCAAAACTCCTGTTCTTGTTGCTGTGGATGTGTTGGGGATGAGTATTGGGTTTGCAGACCATGCCATCACAGCTGCTTAGGCACCAAGCTGGAAGGGGGTCACGTACTCTGCCCATGGGTGGGACGGTGGGAGCCATCCAGACCTTGGTATATAACTGTGTCCCCACAGTTTCCGTGCAGAGCCCAGAGGAGGAGAAGAAAGGAGAGAAGATCTACCTGTACATGCACCTCAAGCAGCAGCCCATCTGGTAAAGCCTGCCTGCAGCGAGCTGGGTCCTGGCCAGTGTTGTTCTCCCTGGGGAGGGGATTACTCTTCCTTGTCCACACCTTCTCCATATGTTTATGAGTGCTTTTAAGCTGCTGCTGCCCCTAAAAGAGGACATTGATGGCTTTTGCACACCTCTTGTGCCAGCGAGAGTGTGTTTGCAGCCACTCAAGGAGCTGGTCCAGAAATGGACCAAATCCACCAGACTTGCTTTAGACCCCCTTGAATCATCTCCTGGCTCTTGGGAAGTGGGAGAGCTTGGCCCTGGGGGGACCTGGAGGCATAGGAGAGATGGGAGATGGGGAGTGGCCATTCCCAGCATCTCCCTCCCTCCCTGCAGGCACAACCTGCGGTTTTGGAATGCTGCCTTCTTCGACGCTGTGCACTGCGAGCGCAGGAAGCGGTCCCCCACCACCAGGTAGGATGTGTTCCCATCAGAAAAGGAGATGCTGTGTCCCCTCCAGCCTCACAGCATTCCCAATGGTCCTAAGCATCACCAGCCATGGGGAAACAATTTGCTTTCTGCCCCTGATGGCAAACCCGTGGGACTACTGGGCTGTGGGGTGCATCCTCCTAGGGATTTAGGTGCATGAAGGTTTTCTTGCTCATTTTGCACCAGTTTTGCAAGGACAAAGCCCTAGAGGTGTGCCCAGAAAACCCAGCTGGGTTCAGGCTGTCAGTGCTTGGTTTGCAAGCAGGTATGGGGAAAGATGCTTAGTGCAGCAATAGGGAAGGGATGCTCTGGGTACCAGCTATCCCTATGGGAGCTGTGGACATGCTCTGCCAGCACAGCATGAGGACCAACACCAGGCAACCAGCAGGGATGGGAGCTGGAGATGTCAGCATCACCCCTGAGAGCTGTAGGATGGGAACAAACTCTGTAAAGGGAAGGGGCTGCTTATTTGGGAAGATGGCTGTGTGCTGGGAGCATCTGGGTGCCTGGGCATGGGAACCCTACAGGGTGCAAGGGTGGGTGAGATGCTCACCAGGCTCATGTCCATCTCTTGCTCCATTATGGAGCTGCCAGGAGGACTTGAGCAATTCACTCCTCTCTCGACTGCAGTTTCCCCCTTGCTGCGTGTCTGTGCAGTGCTTTGAGGCTTCGAGCTCTCAGGCTGAGAGCACTTGAACAGCCCATTTTCTGAGCAGCCAGCCCTCCTGCGTCCCCCCGACAACCTGAGCTAAGCCACAGCAGCCCTGCCTCACACCATGGGTTGCTCTGCTAGGCTGAGCGTGCCGATCAATCTCTGTTTTCTCCTTTATAGCCTTTCTTTTCATCCCAAGCAAGCCACCGAGAGAACCTATTGAACAGTTAATGTAACCATAACTGCATTTGCTTTGATTAAGCCCCAAATTAGCAGCAGCAAGTGTCTCACAAGGACATACGCCACCGGCAGCTGCTCTCTGCTCCGAGTGCCTTTCTCAATTAAACTGATGGCTGAGTCTGCTTCTGCTGCAGAAACAAGCCCACCTAACTAATGAGCTTCAAGAGCTGCACCTTTGGAGTGCTCTGAGTATCTCAGTGGGGGTTGGAAGGTGGTAGTGATCCCCCCTCAGTCCTCTGGAGAGGATAATGGATGCCACTGGGCAAACGGATGCCGCTTGTTGGACTGAGGATTAAAAACCCTGGCAGGAGGAGCTGGTTGGTGAGGGCTGGTGTCCCATGGAATGGGTTTGGAACACCAGGGGTGCTGCTTGGCCACAGAAGGTGTCTGGATGGCCCGTGGTGACAGGGCTGTGACCATTTCAATGGGGTGGTCAGGGCATCTCTGTGGTGTTAGGGCTGCATCCTCTGGGGCTGCAGTAAAGCAGGGGAGGTTTTTGCTCCTGTCGGTGGGGAGGGCAGGGGATGGGGGAAGGAACCAGAACTAAACCTCTTTTTCTCTCTCTTTCCTCTCTCTGCCTCTAACAACCTTCCTTCTGTCTCTTCTTCCCTCCTTTCCCCTCCATCCCTGTATCTTGCATGATCTTTCACGCACCACTCTTGTCGGCCCTGTTTCTGCTGCCGCTCCAGAGGGAACACTGGGGAGGAAGAGGAGAAGAGGTGTGTCTGTCCCTCTACTTCAGTGCGTTAGAGTCCAGAGGCCAATGCTCACTTCAGGTCCAAACCCTGCCCTGGGGAGGGGGGTAACGTGTTTCAGGGGGGCTCTGAAAGGCCCTTTCTCCATTGAGGAGGAACGGCCACCAGAGATTCGACTCCATGTGCATCACCCACTGAAAAGGGCCTTTTTAATGTGGCCTTTTATAAGGAAACTTGACCAGTTTCAAGCTGTAGTATTTTGCTATGGGAATCAGATGCTCACTGATGGGGTAGCCAAGGGCTTACGCTGGGAACAGCTCCCCAGGCAGGTTTTGGACATGAACTGAGTCTCTTCGTGGAGAAAGCATCCCCCTCTCCTGTCTTTCCTGCTTGCTCCTGGCTTCTGCTGCCACATAGAGGTGCTGAGGGTCCTTTGCCAACTGAAAATGCTCAAATGCAGCCACATCCATTGGTGTTCTGAGTTGGGATTGGGGCAGGGGGAGAGCCATGGCTCTCTTGCTGGAGCATGGGGTAGTCAATCTCGGAGCAAATCACTGCAAGTGATGGCATTAGCAAGAGGATGAGGGTTCTTTGAAGCTTGGCAGTAAATCTCCCACGTGGCTAAGGCATGCACCAGCAAATGGATAACTGGAATACTGCTCAGATAAAGCATTGCTCAGGTCGGCTGTGTGGGGTGAAATGCTGTTGCTGAAAGACGAGTGATGCCAAGTGGATGAAGCCACATCTTACAGGCACAGTTCTCCCCATTGTCTGCCCATGGCAAGACATTCCTGGGTACACCAAAATACAGGCAAGGTGTTAGCACACCGTGGGCTTACACACCCCTGTGCCTCCCCCATTGTGCTAGTATGAAGATCAAAGGGCTTGAGTAGAGCCACATGTGAGCTTCCCCCCTTCCCAGGCATGTTACTCCCGAATAACAAGCCAGATTTTTCTTTGATAATGTTTTTTTTTCTCCTCCTTCCTCCCTCAAAAACATAAAAAGGCAGGAAAAAAATTGTTACAAACATGCTGCTTCTGTAAGTGGGCCAGTGAGGTCTGTGAAGTTTCGCTTCCAGATTTCAAAGCCCCCTTAATTTGATTCTTCTCCTTTCTTTGCAGCCTCCAGATTTGGATGTGGTTTTCATTTGCTATTGTGAGCTTTATCTGGAAGAAATTACACCTCTTTTTTCTTCTTTAAATACTTCTAAATATACCATACAAGTTTCCAGAGCCCTGTGAATAGCAGCAGCTCTCTCCCTGAGGCTCGGCTCAGCACCTTCCGCATGGGCTGGGCTGATTGGGGTGAGGACAGCCTCACGTCCATGGGGTCAGCCTGGATGGGCGCTCATCCTTCTCCACTTTCAGCAACACAAACACGCTCTGGGGCTGAGCTCAGCCCCCTGAATGCACTGTGAGACACCCTTCATCCCAACTGCTGTTTTCACCCAGCGCAGCTCCTCCCATCCCGCTTGGTGTGCTGGCGAGCTAGTGCGAGCTGTAAGCGTGTGATGCGCTCCTGGTGTTCTCCTCTTCCTTCTCCTCCATAGAGCTATTTTTCTTCTACCTATCCCTGTTTTTCCTTGCTTTTCCTCCTCTTATCCTTGCCTGTAACCTCTCGGGATGGGGCTGGCTTCACCTGGTGTGCATGCACTGAGCCCCTGCTGCCACCACCTGAGCACAGCAACACAGTGACATTCCATGACATGGGCTTTATTCCCAAAGTCCCCACAAGTGGGACACCTGGATTGGGAGTCGT